ACTTTTAGCTATTATCTTGGTTATTTTGACTATTAGATACTGATTTACTAATCTTAGCTTTTCTCTTGCTAGTTTTACCTCTTAGCAACTGATTTGCTAATTTTAACATTCAAGCTAATTTTAGCTTTTAGTTTTGTCAATTTTAGCTTGTAAGTGGTGATTTGCTAGTTTTAGCTTACAGACAACATGTTTTGCTAATTTAAAGCTTTTATGTTTTAGTTTATTTAAACTTTTGTTTTCCTAGTTTGTACACAAATCACTAATTTCAGCTTTAAGTTACAGTTTTGCTGATCTTAGCATTTTTCTTGCCGATTGTAGCTTGTGTTCTGCTTGTTCTGACGACAGTTACGATTTATTCTTCAACTCATTTGATCCCAGTCATTCAGCACTCAGTATTTGCTCAGCGTATCACAGAAAGTTACACATTCATTCAGCGAATCAGTGAGTCTGACGTGTGAACACTGATGCTTCAATGCTGGAGGGACAAGAGTCAAAATGGTCGTTCCAATAAAGGGATCCTGATTGTCCCTGAGGCTGAATCAGCTGCCATATTCATCCCTCCTTCTCTCCTCTTTCTCCTCCTCGTCTGGATTTATTATCTTCTGCCTATTAGCCARGCTGCTCAATGGGCCTCAGCAACCTAATTTCAAGCCACGAGTCGACTCTGTGTCATTTTAATAGCTGTGGTGAAGCTCCAGAAATAAGGGCCTGGCTCTATTTGTTTCTGTTCTTTATGTCCACTTCAGTAAGAATGACTCTGGATGAGTAAACGGAGCGCAGAGGTTAYGTTGCAGGAGGCAGAAATAAAAATAAGTGTCACCTCCACTCTGAAATGAGTCTCTGCRTCACGTAGCCACCTTTGAACTGAAAGGACCTGAAGAAAATGAGACCGTTGCATCATACCTGCCAACTGAAAAGGACCTGCTGTACAGATACATGTCCTCTATTTATAGTGCCTGTGCATGCACATCATTCAGATACAAAAAAAATCAAAGAAAACAACTTTATATTTAGGAAACATGGCATAATACACATGATTTTACTCATTTTGTCACATAACTGGCATTTTTTCCTTTTGAACATGGCTCAGGCAAAATGAAACAGGAAGTGACATCAAAGGGGAACTTCTAACTCACTGATCTTTTTTTATTGAAACAATATTATTTGAACTTTCTTTATAGTGACTAAATAAATAAACAGCTTCTTCTCTACASTCTGTGTTGTAGCTACTGTAGCAATGATCTTTTGACATGAAGACATTCCCCTTTGACATCACTTCCTGTTTCTTCACATGCAAATATTTCAAGAACTGTTCATCTCAGCGATATGAATTTTTTAAAGCAACATGTTATTGATGTTATCTGTACAAAAATGCATTTATCTTTATTACAAAAATTTGATGTCACAATCTCTTTAACATTACAACTAATCTCAGAGTTCAATGACAACTCTTCTTTTAATTGTAAATTCATTTTYACAAGTAAATCTATCTTTAAAAATACTTAAAAAACTGTTTCTGTCAAACTATAGACTTACATAGCAACACTTCTTCCAACCTGCACTTTTAAAGCAGACATCATGCTTTTAAATCCTTCTTTTTCACATTTAAATCTTTAATTCTTCCTTAWTGAAATTCCACAAGCCCCGCCCCTTTTCTGATGTGTTTCGGATCAACTCGTTTTGAGGCTGTCTCTTTAAATCCAWATGAGGTGCTTCAAACCCCTCCAGCTTCCAGAGCAAACCATTCTAGTTTGATAGAGTGGTTTACGAATATACATCTGTGCAGAAACTTTTTATTTACAAATTAATTAAAAGACGTCAGTGACCCAAACAGAATATAAAGATGTCTACTCAGCACCAGGAGAGACTAAATTCAACTTTTCTGCACTCCCTGAGACTCCAAATATACAAAAAAATGTTTTTAAACGACTAAAAATTAGGATTTTGCGTGATACGTTTTTAGTATGATGCACTTAGTTTAAACAGTCTGAATATTTGACTCCTTCTCGCTTGGCAGCGGAGCTACACGCTTCGTCAGGTATCAGCAAAGAAACATCAGCCAAATAAAGAAACAAACTTCTGCTTCCTCCCGCAKCAGCGACACAAACTTTCAGTCATGACTTGCCACTCAGAGAAAGAGGAACGGCAGGGATTTAGGGCGGCTGGAGAGGCATCACTGCGAATGGAGCTCGACACAGCTCCCCTCGAGTGATCTGATCTAAAAAGGAGATGACGAGGAGACGGGCGGGGAAAGGATGAGCAGCGGAGCTCCACTGTTCTGTGAGCTTCTGCAAACACTCATTTCATAATAAGGCTGGGAGGTTCTCTGATGCTGAGCTGCTGCATGAATAAGTAAGAGGGATTCCTGTGGATGCTCCCCCGATACTCGCTTCTTCCTTCCTCCACTTCACTCAGCTCTGCGTGGATCCACCTTCTCCTATTATCTAGCTTTCTTTTTCCTTTCCCTATGATTGCAACTAATTTATAACTTATMACTAAGACTAATTTACAAATCTACATGAGGTATAAATAAAATATACAGAAGCATGAAAAATGTGCATCATTAAATAGTTGATTTGTTGATTTTCTAAGGGGAAGATATGATCATAATTGACTTTCTGAGCCTTTTAATGAATTGGTTCAGCTTCTGTTGAAGTTGCTGCTGAGAGGAGGGAATAGGAAGAACAATAAAAAAAAAAAAAAGGCTGCGGGGTCGACCATAAAAGGAACATCAAACAAGCTAAAATCTGCTCTGAATGCTTCCATGTGTTTTCAGTAATGGAACAAAATAAGAAAAGATTGCCTTCAGCTGCAGGGTTTAGATGAAAGTGTTTGCTGCTTTAAAGGTTAAAGCTCTCAAGTTGTGAGGTCCTAATGAGGGAAAGGCTTGATGGATTTTTTGTTGCTTGTAAAGTTTCTTTGTATCATTTTATTGCAATAAAATGACAATAAAATGGATTGGATTGGACTGTTTCTGAGATTATCTGAGCATCTGTTCTTGACGTCTGAGACGTGGATGTTTGTTGACACTTGAGAGATGAGACACTTTGAAAAACATTTGCATTTTTAAGCTGCAGTCAGATCAAGTTCTGCTGCTTCACTTTGGGTTTAACATGAGGCTGTCACAATCATTTAYCCAGAGGACTGAAGTTCTTGAGACCGGCCTTGAGACCACTTTTCAATGKTTTCGGTCTCGACTCGACCATATTTATACTTGGTCTTATCTCGGTCTCAGACATTGAGGACTCACTAAATATCACTAAATAGCCAGAATATTGTCCAATTTACTTGTTACCAYTGTTGCTTTCATTAGATGACAAACATACTGATTCAAATCCAAAGCTAGCTAACTAATGTTAGCAATCTACCTC